TGCTTCAGACTTCTCGGTGAAGACCGAAACAAAGAAGTCATTAAGCATCTCTGCCATTTCCAAGTTTCCTGTTACTGTTTCTCCCTTTTGTTTACTGTTTGCTTACTGTTTTGCTTACTGTTTCTCACTCCTTTTGTTATGATCTAAAGCAAAGAAGGTCTCATTCTCCCGCTTTTCAACTTCAAGGTCAACTATTCTCTGTCAGCCTCGTGAAACACACACATGCAAGTTATGTAAGCTCAGCCTTGAGACACGTTTTATTCTTACTTTCACAGTGAACGTAAGGGATTGGACCAAATGGGGAAAAGGAGAGAAACACTGACGCACGATAGCAACTCCCTTCTCATTCAAAACGATCCCATATGCAATCTAGGGCTCTTTTCCCCTTCACAGCCAGCCTGTACACAGGATACCAGCCCCATTTCTCATTCAGGGCACAGCTGGGCTCCACCCCCTCCTGACACCTGAGACTCGGCTGTCCCCATGTGGCCATGTTCAGTCACTCATTAAAACTCTCAGACTCTTCAGTGTCTGGATGTTTCATCCTTGTCTCACCCTATTTCACATCATTCAGGGTGGTGTTCCTCTCTCCAAAGGGAAACACACCCGAGATCAGGATTTACTTTGAATCCCCATCAGATGCCACAGGAGGAGTGAATGGGGCAGTCACGGGGCTCACACTGCTTCACACTGTTCAACAGTTTCCTGGTGCAATAATATGGTGATTGGTCTGAAGTCTCTGAATAGCCCATCAGAGACAGAAACATACCTGTGTCGTTCCCCAGCTCCAGTCGCAGCGTCTCTAGAGGAAGGAGAGGATGGGAGAGGTGAGAATTCAGGCCCTGGCATTCATGGGGTTGTTCCTAGCGGTTATTAAGGTAATTGCTGTTAACTATGAGATGGTGACACAGACCACTGCAGACAGAGCCAGCCTCACAGGGGTACTCCCATGGGGAAGGGTGACTTGCTGAGCTGGGCAGGGAAATGGAGCTCAGGGTCAGTGACATTGCTAGATCCCCGACTCCTCCCCACGGCGAGCCAATCTAGCTAGAGGAGATGCCACCCCAGACTCCAATTCACCTTTGAATCCCAGCAGCACGTCTTGCAGGACGGCACTTTTCAGAGAGAAATCGCAGAGTCTCTTCTCCAGCACCACAAACCCTGGCTCTGGCTTCTGAAACTTCCCGGCCTCCCTGCTAAAGAAAGCAGGAGGGGTGAGAAATGGGCCTCAGCCCCAGAAGCCCCCAAACTCCAGGAAACCTGGATCTGAGCTTTGTACCCTAAGATGATCACAGTTCTGGTGAGTCACCTGCCTTCAGCCCTGTGCTCTCCATGGGCCCAGAGAGACAGGACATGAGGAGGAATGGAGACAGGTTGGGAGCTTCCTCTGGGACACTCTCCTTGTCTGGGGAGCTGAGGCACCTCCCACACTGGGTTATTCCGGTAACAAGGGGCACTGGGATTATGGGGAAAGGGAGGAGACATGGACTAAAGAGTGGGCGTCTCTCATGCTCACTGAGGCCCCAGAGGCCAGGTCTTCAGCAGGGAATGAGCCTGGGCCCTTTAATGCCAAGAGCCCTAAGCCCTTCAACAGAAGCAGTAACGCTGGGGTGTCCAATTTAAATGGTGACGATGGCCGTATTCCACTTCCTGTTACGGCCAGTGGGCCAGGGCATCAATCTAGGACTCTGTACACTGCTCCATTCATGGCAGGACACCCACTGCTCTCCGCAGGACACCCATGTACCAAGGTCAAGGCGAGAGTCTGCCCTTTGTATAGGAAATACACTTTTGAGTTACTATTTGTTAAGTCCTTTATTGTCATAATCAGTATCACTCAGCGGGAACATAGCCCCCTCCCACACCCGCTAGGGCTCCTGCATTTCTCCTCTTTATTTCCCTTCCTTTCTCTATTTCTCTCATTCGCCCTCTGTTCTGTCCTTCCTACAGAAACTCCCTGTTCCCACCCCTCAAGGTCTTCGCTCCCACCCCCTCTCCATTCCACCTGCTAGAGCGATCAGCCGTGGAATATTGAATGTTGACATTAAAGTGGCATCATTTCAGCTGACACACCAATGAGATTAATGGAGGACGGGGGAGTTCACAGCCGTCTGAGTCCCGGCTTCAGGCTGTTGCTAAATCAGACAGACAACAGCGTCTCCGTTTGCTTTTGGGAGGGTTTCTTTGCAACCATGAAGATTAGAAACTTACTATAAAATTGAAAGTGGAGTTTCTGCACAGTGTGAATATGTGATGTGGCCACATAAATATGCCAGACAGGCAGGGTCTGGCCCATACGTCTGACAGCGCTGGTGTGACCTCATTAACTGTCAGATAGTCACAGACGCTATCCCCTGGTGAGGCAGCCACAAGGGGAGATGTGATCACAGGCACTAACACTGCAGGGGCAGGGGGAAGCTCCATCTTTAGTGCAGTTCCCAAGCATAACTGAGCAGGAGGGGGATTGAAAGGAGCCAGGGACTTACCTGCTCCCAGTGCTTCCAGCACCCTGAGAGGGAGAGAAAGGAGATGCAGTCAGGTGGGGTGTCCAAGGCTGGGGAGACCTCCCACTCTGAAGGGCAGGCACCTTTGGAGTCTTGGGTGTTTGGAGAATTTCAGACATTCAAATTCATGTCCAGAGAGCAGCTGCCGCCCCCCCAGGGATCCCTGCTGGGACGTCGTCATTGGGGAAAGTTTCTGCCCATGCACTTTACAAAGAAGAAAATATGCATCTGCCTGGAAAGTGAAATTCCCACTAGTGCTGAGAGTCCCGCAAGCGCCCTACCCCTTAAACCAGTCACCTGGGGTGATGTGGGGCTTTAGGCTCAGGAGGGCCTCGGCGTGGTGGGGAGATGTCACACTCAAGCCCAAATGCAGTTAGACATATACAAGGCATTTACTGTGTGACCTTGGTCACAGCTATACCCCCCCACTCACCCTGTGCCTCACTTTCCCCATTGTAAAATAGGGACCTTGCCCTGACCCCCCTTTGTAAAGTGCTTTGGGGTCTAGGGCTAAGACACTCCTATAGAAACACTGCATATTATCATTGTAATAACGCGGCCTGACCTGCAGGGATTGGCTCAGTGGCTGCTGCCCCTTCTCTCCTCCTCTCTCACTGAGCACAGAAATCTCCCCGGAAAGTTTGCAGAGGCCCTCATCCCTTCTCTGGACAATGGCTATCTCTAGCTCTTCCAACTGGGACAGCAGCCGCTGCTCCTGCTCCTCCAGAAACTCCTGCAGCTCCTTCCACTCCCAGACGATCTTCTGCCTCTCGACTTCCGTCTGTTTCTGCAATCACAGGGAAAGGGCAGATCAGTCACAAGGGAGAACCATACATGTGCCTCCTGCAGATGGAGGAGTTATTTACCAGAACACAGGATCTCCTGCAGTGGGTGATGGGAAGTTCATTTAGGCCAGGAAGGGTGGAGGGATCAGGGCAGGGGTGAGCTGTACATCGCTAACAGAAGAGACGTTTGTCCCCAAAACCTCATCAAATTGCCCTGGGCCAAACTCTCCATCTCTGCAGCCCACGTTTCATCTCCTTCCTCCCCATCTCCCCTAACCGTTATAAAGGAACCCCGGTCACTGTAACATCCAGACAGCCCGTGGGCAGGGTTACTGGGTTAACACACAGACTGACCCTCTCCTGCACAGCAGTCTCTTGTACCCTAAGGACATCACATTACCCACCTGTCTGACACTGCATGCTCCCTGGGCTCCAATGGGGACGGTTTCCTGGCAGGATGGGCCCTGCATTCACCATGTCACTCAGGGCACTGTGATCCCAGGCAAACCTGAGGGGCAGGGGGCACCTACCAGCAGCTCCTCACTTTGCCGTTCCTCCTCGGCTTTGTCTATTTCTCTCTCTTTTCGCAGAGGGGCCAGACACTCTTCTAGTGCCTCCTGGAAGAAGCCGGGGAGAGGGTTACAAACTGCTACAAATGGCCTCCCAACTGCTAGGCTTCAAAGCCCAGCCTGCCCTGAAGATGCCCAAGCAGAGTCCCTGGGATGCACTTTCTCCAGGGCTAGTTCAACCCCAGCAAGGAACATCCAAGAGGGGCAGGTTAGAGAGAAAACGCAGGACCCCTTGGTGAACATCCCTAACAATGAACTTCAGACATTCCCCCCACTTCCCCAGCTGCCACCCCCAACCCTGCCCAAGAGCTGGATCTAAACATGGATCCCCCCAGGCTCCAACCAAATATCCCCTAATCCCCAGCTCTGACCCCCCCACACTGACACGGTCCAAACACCCCCAGCCCCGGCTCTGACCCCCAGATACACCCACCCCCAGCCCCTCGCTCCCGGGGCCCAGCCGGGGCTCCGAGCTCTGCAGCCGAGCTGGGCTCCGGGCCCCTCCTGCAGCTCCCGGGCTCCGTCGCACCGGCCGCGCAGCAGGGGCTGCTCCGCTCCGCCCCGCCCGGGACACTCGCCCCCCGCAGCCCCGGGCAGCCCCTCTCCGGCCGCGGGGAGCTCGGGGACCCCGGCAGGGGGCGAACCAGGCAGCCGGGCCCGGCCCCTCCCGGCAGGAGCGTGTCCGCCCCACGCGTGTCTCCGCCCCCGGGCCCACCGCGCTGCCCCGCCGGCTGCAGGGCGGGAGCAGCCTCCGCGCCGGGCCGCCGGCCCCGGCCATGGCTCCGCCGCAAACACAAAGGGGACAGGAAGGGGCGGCTCCTTCCCGGGCCTGGCCCTGCCCCCGGCGGGCCCCTCGCAGGGTGTTTGTGACGCTCGGTGACTGGAGCTGCTCAGCCCCGCGCCGTGCCGGGGAGCCGGGGCGCTCCGCCCGGCACCTGCTCCCAGTCCCAGTCCCAGGCGCTGTGCCGGGGCTAATGGCCCTGGCGCTCCCGTCTAACCCTGAGATTCCTTAACCCCGTGGCGAGTCCCCCTTTCTCCCACTCGCTGACCTCGCTGGGGTCTCCACGAATCCCCCCATTGCCTCGCTGAGGGTCAGTTTTCAGTTAGTCTCACATTTGGGATATTTTCCCACCCATTTTATCGGCAGGAAATTGTCCTTGTTTGGCTGGAAATGGTTGCCTGGAGTTAGGGTGACCAGACAGCAAATGTGAAAAATGGGGAGGGGGGGTGGGGGGTAATAAGAGCCTATATAAGAAAAATCAGGACTGTCCCTATAAAATCGGGACATCTGGTCACCCTACCTGGAGTCAGCCCCCAAACGGGAAAGGGGTTAGGGGGCGAAGCTTGGGAGAGCCCTGAGACAGGCCGCCTCGGCCAGGTGCGTCCGGGGATATTAGAGAGACAAGGGGGGGAAGGTGATATTGGACCAGCTTGTCTCTTTCACCAGCAGACGTTGGTCCAATAAAAGAAATGACCTCACCCACCTCGTTCGGTGGGAAGCTGCCTCTGCAGTGGGCATGGGGTGCTCATTCCCTGCCACCAACAGGGCCTAGGGATACAGGAGGGAGCTGCTCAGTGTGGAACTGGGTCCTTGCTGTCTGGTGTCCGAGAATCACCATACTGCTGTCAGGGGCAGCTCCAGGCATCAGCGCAGCAAGCGCGTGCCTGGGGCGGCAAGCCGTGGGGGGCGGCGTGTCGGTCGCTGTGAGGGCGGCAGTCAGGCGGCCTTCGGCAGTGTGCCTGCAGGAGGTCCGCCAGTCCCACGGTTTCGGCAGCAATTCGGCGGCAAGTACGCCGAAGCCACGGGACTGGCAGATCACCCACAGAAACGCCACCGAAGCTGCGTGACCGCGGACTGCCTGCAGGCATGTCGTCGAAGCCCGCCTGACTGCCGTGCTTGGGGCGGCAAAAAACATAGAGCCGCCCCTGACTACTGTATTAACCCCGCACGTTCCCATCACTGATTTCACCAGAAGTATCTCCAAACCCAGTGACAAACCGTCTCCATGAGGGGTTACTTCATCCAGTGCTGAGATGTAGCCACCTCTGGGATGGGTCCATGGTGACCATTATTTGTCAGTATCAGGGCATAGAAATTGTTTCTATTTTGGTTCCACCATTATCCTGTTAAAGAAGCACCACCCAGGGCTCCCTACACCTGTGTGAATGCTACCTGACAGCATTCGCTGCTTGGTGGGTACTGGGAGGACTGAGTATGCTCAGTAACATCTGCTGAAGCCAGTGCTCTTGCTTCGACGACATGCCTGCAGGCGGTCCGCGGTCACGCAGCTATCGGTGGGTAGCAATCGATTTATCAGGGATCGATATATCGCGTCTCGTTAAGACGCGATATATCGATCCCCGAACGCGCTCACTGTCGACTCCAGAACTCCACCAGAGCGAGTGGCAGTAGCGCAGTCGACGGGGGAGCTGCGGCCGTCGATCCCGCGCCGTGTGGACCCCAGGTAATTCAATCTAAGATACTTCGACTTCAGCTACACTATTCGCGTACCTGAAGTTGCGTATCTTAGATCGATTTTCTCCCCCCCCCCCCCCATGTAGAGCAGCCCCAAGTCTCAGACAATGACACAGTCAGTGTCTTTAAGAACCATCAGCTTTCAGGTGCACATGTTATTCTGTGACTGTTCATTTTACAAACACGACTCCTTCTCCATTTATTTACCAAGCTAACAGATGTCGAGGAGCACGGTGAAGAATACTGCAAAGAGTGCAGCACACATTTGAAATGTAGAAATGATGCTGACATTGAACTGGCCCTTAGTAATATTTCTAAAGAACAAGAAAAACCACAAGCACAGTATGCCAAAACGAAGACTTGTAAACATGGAAAACTAACATTGGAGGTTGGAGACAGTGTCATGTTACTGAATTGAGAAGGAAAACAAGAAAGGGAGGGCCACTGCAACCTACCTACTATGGACCATACAAAGTTACCACTGTCAAGGGCAAAAGAGTTAAATTTGAAACCATCTCAGGGAAACTTTTAGGATCTATGTACAGTATCTCCCTCTTAAAACTATTTAAAGAGCCCCCAACATTAGTCCCTGAAAACAAATCACAGGAAAACATGGAAATGGAAACTGCTGTGGGTGACCATGAGAAGACAGTCGCCTCAGAGATTGGAGAAATGGGAGGCGATGCATCTCACCAGCCTCACGACAGCCAAGTGATCAAGGTGGAGGTCAGACATGGAAGAAGAGGAGTGTAGTGGCAGAAGTTACAAGCAGTAATCCAAGGAATGTTGATGACCTGCTTATGGAGGATGGTGAAGACAAAGAATGGTTTCTCAAAGGTATTGCCTACCACACATTTCTTTTTAAACCATTTGTTAACCTACTTCCATTCTTTGTCTTTTATGAAGCATGTTAAAAGTTTCCATGTAAGAATGTCAGCATTCATGATGGTCAAACAGAGTAGTTGTGTTACCATGCATGTAATATGCATTAATTTTTTTGTAGTAAGATTTGTACTGACCCACAAGGTTACTGAGACTGGAGGCCAAAGTAAGAAAAAATGGTTTGTATGACACTGCATTTTGTGACCTGATGCTAGGAAGATGGCTGGGTGATGAGGTAAATTGAAATAGCTGTAAACATGGAGGGTGACTGGATTGATTCCTCTGGGTTTGAAATGTTAACTATTCTTTCAACACCTGTTGTAGGTTATTGATGTGCATTTGTGTTGTGTGGTCGAGAAAACAAGTGGAAAGATAGGCCACTTATTGAGATGCTACATGGAAATATCAATTAATAATCAAACCATCAGATCAATATGTGCTAAGACATGTTTAACTCCACCTAGCTTGGAATTGTGAATACAAACCTCTAATTATTGCATTTCACTGTACTTACTGCTGCCAAACCTGTACTCAGAAATAATTTGAGGTATATACCTGACTAGATACAATCTGTGACATGTGTAGGGCCACATTAATTTTGATATACAGTTCAGTGGGGCCATGACATAAATACAAATATATGCACTGCTTAGTCACTTTTTAAAGTACGTATGACAGAGCACACGGGGGGGGGGGGGGTCTTAAAAGCATAAGGTTTGTAAATGGACTTACAAAAAAACTATGTAACAGTAAGGATCCCTTTCATGCCTTTTTTGTTACAAATTAAATTGTGTTTTTTATGCCAAATTTAAAAACTTGCTTGAGTGTCAACAGGTACAAGCCATCTCGTCTGTAGTTGCCACTAGCATTCTGTCAGGCAGAGCAAGATGAATGAAACTGGAGAAGGTAAATGTTAACAAACTATCATACCCAACATGGGCAAATCCCATTTTCAGAAAGGCAGTTAAGCAGTCTTAAGAAACAGCAAAAACTATGCTATGCCAGGGAATGAGTAGTAGTAAACATGCCCTGAAATTGGGAAATACAAAGTAATCCATACTGACTGCTTTGCTTCACAGGCAAATGTAACTGCATTTTTAATTATTTTTTCAATGATCACAGAGTGGAATTCTGCAATGTGATATATTATGGCTTCCTTTCAATGCACCAAATCTTTGGGTTATTATGGTAAGATGTTTTCCATTGTTATACTTTGGGTTTGTTTGTACTTATTGTATTATATAGGATTCAAATACACCTGTGTACCAGTGATATAATTTCCTTTGTGGATTTTTAATACATGACAATGGAACTGTAATGTAAGTCTTGAAATTCTGAGGACTGCACTTTAGGAAATAAAACGCTAGTTTGAAGACTGTTCAGTTGGCAATGTAAATATAAAGAATATAGTCTGCACGGTTGTATTGTGTGTGAATGAGACATTACAACTGATAAAATCATCTGCATGAATGTTTAGAAAAATCATTAAAAAATTGTTGAAATTATTATATTTCCAATAACATGCTTATGCATGTACACTTACAGATAACATTAATGGAAACCAAAAAATTGTTAATTGACCTCTTGGGTTAATGAGATGACATATGAAAGGCAATTCTTGAGGAATTGGAGGTGGATTTTTCAGATACTTGCTTTCAGAGTTCACATGTAGTGTTGTTGTGAAAGCTGTTTTTAAAAAACGGTCACAATGAGGATAATATCTTCCAGACAGCTGCAAAGAAAAATGGGCACAGCATGCACTTGTGCTGACTGTGCTTCATAATGGACATTGAATGACCTGTGCAATTTGAGCCTGGCTAACTACTTCATTGAACATGGGCACAAAACACTAGCATTTAGCATGAGTCAGGTGTTGGTAGCAACACTGGCCACAGCAAATCCGGTGATATATGTAGTGTAAGACTCTGATGCGATTATATGAAAGCAAGTGAATACATATGAGCATTGAGTCGTTGCAAGTAGAAACAAAGGATTACAAAACATGTACAGAAATTGTTAGAAAAAGCAAAACAGTCAGCTATGGTACAGTCCTTTCAAATTTCAGGTCTGTCCTCTACCAAGAAACTGGAAAACTCAGTGGATTGGAAAACCAAAATAGTGGAACACAAGAGACAAAGTGATGGGCACAACTGTGGACCACTAATCCTAAAGGCATTCAATGCCAAATATTCAATATTGATTAATTATGTATGATTATGGTTTTGTTCTAATTAGAAATGTTATTTGCAGAAACATATTTACAGCATAAAGACATCAGTACTGTAGAAACCACATGAGGCTCTAACTACATTTAGAAGAAAAATAGCAATTCTTT